TCTGTCCCTGTTCTATTATCTGCCTTTATCTCTTGCTGATAAGTGTTTTCCCCATTTGCTTTTTTATGTCTTATCAGTTCTGATGCAATGATGGACAGTGGGTATAAAAATCAGTTGAGATGGAGGTAAAAAGTTTTCATGTTCAGAATGGCCACACCTCATCCTCTGTCATGCATTTCCTGTGAGGCATTGCTGAGTAAGGACTTGAGCTGGTTGGAATTTCGGTGTTGCTGTAATTATCTTCAGCAAACACACACTTCAGATTTTTCCAACAGCATAGAGTTGCTGCCCTGTGGTTAGGGGCCTAAAGTGCTAAGCAGTTTTTCCAGCAGTTATGCTCCACCCCACTCCAGACTGTTCTTCATTATCATGTGATTCTTGCAGGGGAGGTGGGGGGAGATGCACTAGATTCCTAGGACTGCCTTAGCAAAGCACATATACTAGGTAGCTTAAAACAAAAGACATATATATTCTCTCATAGTACTGGGGGCTAGATGTTTGAAATCATAGAGCTAGAAGAGCTGTGTTTTCTCCAAGGCTTCTCTGAGAAATGTTTTATGCTTTGCTTTTAGCTTCTGTCTTTACCAGCAATCCTTAGCAGTCCCTGGTTTATAGATACATCACTGTAATCTTTGCGTCCATTAACACATGGCATCCTCCCTGTGTGTCTTTGTCTCTTCTTCTAATAAAGACACGAGTAATAGTAGATTATGGTCCACACTAGTGAACCCCCTTAACTTGATTACATCTGCAAAGCCCCTTTTCCAAATATGGTCACATTCTCACAGATAAGGCATTGAATGAGAAGGGGTAGGACTTCAATAGATCTTTTAAGGTACACAGTTCCACCCATAATGGAGTTTTTCAGTTCCTTTTGCCAGCTTAGTGAATGCAAGTGCTGTGTGTCTGATTTTGGGGAGGTGAATCTTTGTCAGCATTGTTTCCCACCCTGCATAGTGCATGAACTCTGCCAAGCATTTTGGAGGGTCTTGAGCAGGAGGAAATTTTTCTGCCGCACCCCAGCAGTAGCAGACATTTTAGTGTCACTATGGGATCCTGGTACCTACCAGGTATTCGTGGCCTCTGCCACAGGTAAAAAACTTTTCTCCTACCCATCACTCAAATCTTCAAATGCAATGCCTGGGCCTTGGGGCAGGTGGGGCTTTTACTTCTCACTCAGCAGCTTCCAGCTCTTGACTGACATGTAAAAAGATGCAGGAGTTGGGTGGGTTTACTTTGCATTTGTGTGACTGAACAGAGTCCTCTTAGGCTTTCTGCCCTGACCTCCGCCTCTTATGTGAGCACCTGGAGCAGGCTTATAGGAAATAGGTGATGGGGATGAACTCTGATGTCTGGGGTTCACAGAAGTTCCAAACCTTCACAGTATTCCCCATCAGGAAGTGTTCCACATTTCAGCTGTTTCCTTTTCATATCTCTAACTGTTTCATTGTAAATAACATGTTTCTTAGCTGAGGGTAAATTTAGCTCCTACATTTATCATTGATGTTCTAAATTGTACTAAGAAATGTTTATCTTAGTCACTCTAGATGCTATAACAAAAATACCATAGATTGGGTAGCTTATAAACAGACAAATATATTTCTCCCATTTCCAGAGGTTGGGAAGTCCAAGGTCAAGGCACCAGCAGATTTGGTGTGTGATGAGGGCCTCCTATCTGGTTCACAGAAAACTGTCTTCCCATGGCAGAAGTGGGTGAGGGTGCTCTCTTGAGTCCCTTTTATCAGAGTACTAATCCTATAAACATTCAGTTTATAGCAATGTCTATGTTTGAAATGCTTTTTATTATTCTGTTTGAAAGTCACTGTGATACCTGTGCCTGAGGGTTTATGACTTATATTAGTTTTAAATGTTTATCAGCCTTATTATTCTGAATACTGCTTTTCCCTATTGTCTTTCATTGATGTTTCTGGAAACTTTAGTGGACACATTTTGTGCATTTTGAATCTAGCCTTCATTTTTAAACTTCTTTTATGTATTCCAGTTTCTTACATTTTCATGTCAATTTTTATTTCAAGGTTTATTTATTTGGTGCTTTTAAAATTATTTTGTTAAATTTTTATATTTTGTTGCATTGTCCTATGTCTATGATGATTTTATAGCTTATTTATTTATGGTTTATGCCTCCTATGATTTTGTTACCTGAGATTTTTTCAGTGTTTTATTCTAATGTTTATAGTTACTGCTGAGACAGGCATGTGATGGATCATTCCTTTATGTGTTTTGTAATTTTAAATGTGATGTCATATTTCTTACCACTTTAACCATGGGAATCCTGTCTGGATGAAAATGAGTGAGTGCCGTCCCAGATTTATGTCTGCTTATTGCCAGGCACCTTAGAGGCCTAAGTAATCAGAGAATAGTTTTACATTACATTTTTTTCTTTAGACCTCCCAGACCAGGTAGGTAATACAATTTTAAAAACACGCTCATAGTTATTTTATTTTTTCGGATGTATTTTGGTAGCTGATTTTTAAAAAATGAAAGTAGTAATAAAAGTTGTTTTCCTTAAACGAATTACAAATACCTAGTGCTAGCGTTGCTATTCCTCATTGCTCCTTCTTTTTTCCCTACATAAAACTTTTCACCACTGAAATGCTTGAAGCTTTACTGATTGTTGTCTATGAGTAGAATAAAAGGTCCTTAAGGATAAAGGTTTTGTCTGCTCGGTTCACTACTTGTACCCAGCATGGAAGCCCACCATTATTTGATTAATTTACCTTTTATCTCAAATCACTTTCACCAAGAAAGTGAGCAAGTCTCCTGGCTGGTGTAGCTCAGTGGAGTGAGCGCAGACTGCGAACCAAGGAATCGCAGGTTTGATTCCCAGTCAGGGCACATGCCTGGGTTGCAGGCCACGGCCCCCAGCAACCGCACATTGATGTTTTTCTCTCTCTCTTTCTCCCTCCCTTCCCTCTCTAAAAATAAAATCTTAAAAAAAAAGCGAGCAAGTCAGATTATTACATGTGGGATTATATTTTAATAATGTGGCATTAAAGGAATTTTTCCTATAAATTCCAGATTAGGAGGAGGAACAGTATCATCTAATTTATCCTTCTTGGACAAGTAAAAGGATTCAGTTTATAAAGAAAGCAGAGGATGATTATATTAAAATAAATTATTTGTCTATTCTTGAAAAGATGTATTTTTTCAAAATTTTTAATTTTATAAATCCAGCTATATTTTTATTAAAGCTGTAACTAAATCAATAAAATATTTTATACCATAGAACCCTTTTAATATTTAATACAGTAAATTTAAGGTATAATGGTTACCAGAGAGATGTCTTCCTGAGTTAAAGAAAAACACAGTTTTCCATATTTTGAAAACATTTTAGAGTTAATTTTGATTATATATATTTTGTCAAAACATAAGTCAGTTAAGAAAATAAAGATAAGGTAACATTTGAAAAATATAGTAGATGGATTATTTGGTAATACAACAATAAAAATATTCAATGTATATAACATTTTAGAAAAACACTTGGTATGTTGAATTAACAAATTTGAAATGATATAGAGTTAGTATATCAAATTAATACCATTTTAAAGTTAATACAAGGTGAAAACAAGGCATTGCTCTTGTTTTGTGTTATTCTGATTGTTGCGTATTATTTCTAATTTGTCCACTGTCTAGTTACATATATTAAAACTTTGTCAGTATCTCTGAATAATCAGTCATCTTTGATGAACAGGTGATTAGGTGGAAGAAATGAAGACAAAAGAGTTGCATTTAGTTGGATTAGGAAAAAGACACATTAAAAAAAATCAATGATGATTAGCCAATTTCATCTTTTGCTTGCTGTTACAAATCTATATCTTTTCTATATGAGGTAATATTTTAGTTGATGGATGGAAGTTAATTATTACTGAGACATGAGTATCTCAAACAGTCAAGTCAGAAGGAGTTGTCCTGAAAGCTCTCAGCATTCATGACCTAGGACCACTCAACTATGTCCTGCCAAAAAATAGATACATTTTGAGAATTTCAATCTAGAACTTTGAATGTATAAAAAGAAGACTGTTTCACCTCCATTTTGGACAACCATGAAAATATATAAATTATATGTTTATATAACAATATAAACATATAATATAATTCAAGATGTCCAGAGTTTCACTGTAAAGTGGTACTGAGGTCTTGCTTCAGTAGTGAGAAGATTCAGGGATATCAAGTGAAAAAAATAAACTTGATAGTGAATATAGGATATGTAGTTATATACACAATCTACCCCTGATCACACGGGCTTACATGAAGTCATTAATCTATCTTTTCTACATCAATAGAGGTGAACTATGCTTTCTATGTAGAAACTGCTGCACACACTCAGTTTTTATAAGACAGTCACAAGTATTAGCATCTTTCCTAAAACAAACATCAGATGAACAAAATTTTTAAATGTTTCTTGCTTTATTTTGAGAATGTGATCACTCCACATTAGAGGTAAAGCAACCTGCCTGACTTTGAGAATAAAAAGGGAAAACAGTGCACACCTCCTCCACTTGAAATAGTCATTAGGGACAAAAACATAAGACTGATACACTGTTGGCTTTAGCGAATGTTTGGATTCCCATCTTATCTATTTGTCCTATCTAGAATTGAAGAAATCGTCTTGCATGGTCACTTTTGGACTAAATACTCAGGGCAACCTGAAGTGTACCATCAGCATCCGAGGCGGTAGTAAATTTCCAGTTTACTGCATGTTGCCAGAGCCAAGCGAAGATAGAACAGGATGGTGTTTTGTGTTCCAGACATAAACACAGCAGCCATCCCTGTCAACAGTTGCTATTTGGATGCATGTATGGTCTTTCTCTAAAAATTCAAAGCAATTTTACTTGCTATTTTAAATCATGTTTATGCATTAACATTTGGAATATCAACGATGTTAAACCAGAGGTTAATGTTGTGGTCTATTTATTTTGTGACTGTTTAAATTATCTTTCAAAATACTCTCCACTTTTCAAAGTCAGAATAGTAGTTACCTTGGGGATCTGGAAACTGCATGGAAGAGGCCCGAAGGGCTTCTGTGTGCAGGTCATAGTTCATTCCTTCCTCTGGGTCTGCAAACAGATGTATTCAAGTTGAGGACATTAATCAGTCTCACGATTGTGTGCCAGTCACTTTTTTGTGCATATACTTTTCTTCACTCATAGATTTACTCTAAAAATAGCTATGTTCCTTTGCAGTTACGTTCTAAAACAAAAGTTAAAATAGTACAGAAAATTAGATTTCTTGTTCACATTAGATCATTCTGGGATATTTTTATAATATAAAGGCCATAAGACAGATAAAGTGACATGGAAAACAGAACATTAAATGTCAACTGAACCGCTGTATTTCTTCTTTTTAATTTTTAAAAAGGCTAAGGCTGGTGTGAAAATAACCAGTGCTCATGAATAACTTTATAATTTATGACCTTATACAACATTATTGTCTGATAAATCTTCATTAAAAGAGTCACAAATACTATTTATAATGTTATTATAAATAATTAGATTTATAACATATAATTATAATTTAATATATATTGTAATAATTAGATATACTATTATAAATAATTAAAACAATTTATCATTATTATTACTGTGGACAAAGCTAAACACAAAAATTCTATTTTCTTCAATAATGTCAGAACATTCCTTCTATTAAGATTTAATATATTTATTATTTTTGAAGTCTGTGTAACCACCTTAAGCCCCCATACTCAAAATACTTCACAATAGCAAGCCAATTATTTTAAAGGTACTGATGAACTTAATGACAAGTATATTCTCTATATGTTTATAATGTGAGAAAATAAAATGCATGAAAGGCAATTTGTTTGGGCTCATTCTGATAAGAGTAAGTCAAATGCCTTCCATCCTATCATTTCTGCTCATTGATCAATAATATTAACATTGGAAGAGTAGAACCAACTTTTCCTTGAGAAACTTCAAGGTGGAAACATCAGGAAGTTCTACATCCTAAAAAAAATGCATGTACTCCTTATTCCCACCATTTTGTTCTTGCCTAAAATACCCCTGTAACATTTTTTTTTCCTAACTGATGTCCCAGAATTACTTATATACACCCAAAACTCTAGAGTTGGGGCTGTACATAGCAATGCACTCAGCAGATGAGATCACAGTACACGTTGCTTACCACCATGTTAACAAATCCTTGCAGAAGAGCAAATAAAAACATGTAATAATTCAAGTGAAGTGGGATTTTGAGGAAATTGTTCAGTCACAGATCTGGGCTCAGTGGAACCAGCCCCTGAAAGCCTGCTGCCTGATTTCTTTGCTGTGTCATCCCGTGCATCTGCACAGCTTCAAGCGTCCCCTGTGTCAGGCACGCAGGTCTCAGAGCAGCAGCCACCTCAGTGTGTGCCTGCAAAGCCTCTCCAGGGGCTTTACACCAAACTGCCAGAAAACAGGACTGAACTGGAATTAGAAGCTTGAATCTCCTATCCAGAGAAGTAAACAGTACACGGCCTAGAAGTATTTTCCTCTCCGTTTAAAAATAGAGATGAAATTTAGCTGCTAGTGCATTGCTCAATCCCCCACCATCTCAGTGAGTTCATAGTGTGTAAATATTGTGATCTTCATAAATAAATACTGAGGCACAGCTGGCGCCGTTAAGATATCGCTGTTAGGTTGCTGTGGCCCTGTTATCACCAGTGGGTGTTGCTAATTATTCTCAGAACTGAGGTTCTGGCATAGGAGGGGAATGGAATGTAGAGGAAAGTCAACAGAGGTTGAAAAAATAAAATAAAACATTGTTTGTTTCTGTCCATAGCAAGGACATTCCACCCTTGTGAAAGCCAGAGATACTTACAGCTGTAGGTGTGGGTTGCTCTTCTCTGTGAAGATGGTTTAACAACACAATTTATTTCACCCTTTGATTGCATTCCAGCTGATTAAAATTCACACCACTTGTTTGTAAGGGCAAGAGGAGGTAATTGGGGTGTTCAAAGGACAACGCTGTGAACCTGAATGTCTTGAATGAAGGAGTTTACCAAGGGGAGGGAAGGTTTTTTCCCTTCCTCCCACCTATTCTGACAGGTGTGTTAATGGCCTGCCTTGCACACTGCACACAGAAGAGGTTCCTTGTGTGTAAACCATCTTGACTTGAGAAAGCAAGTGCTCTTTAGATGTATTGTCAAGCAGAGGGAAGCTGTGTGTGAATTACTACATTCTTTTTTGAAAATGCCAAGGTTAATTTTTAATTGTTGGCAGCAGGGTAGACCTGATGACCACAGCATTCCACACAGGTAGAGCTTGTGCTGGCTCATCACATTGTTGCTGCTTCTCAAGTAATCTTTTTTGACTTTGAGCCCAATGGCTAAGCAGAGAGGATACTGTTAAAGGGCATTGTGTTGTGCTCTTATGTTAAAATATCTACTCTCATTTACTGTGCTCAGCATTTCATTATACAACAGGGAGGTGTGACTTCAGAGAATGCAAATAAGCACAAGTCAGATCTTGGTCCGGTTCTCCTCACATCTCTTCTCAACTAGCCTTACTCTGGGCAACCCTTCTTCCCCAACCTGTAACACCACCTTTACCCTCAACCCCCATATTTAAAAGGATTCAGATCCTTAGGGATGGATCCTTAGAGTCACAGCTGTTCCTGTGACTCTCACAGGAGCACCCCTGTCCCCTAAAATTTATTACAGGACCCGAGACTATTGGCAATTCCCTGCTGTTTTATTCAACAATATCTCAACAGGAAGCAATATATTTTGGGGTTTTTTCTAGCCTAGGGAAGAAAAATGTCCAATACTTACTGAAATTGTAGGCAAATTTGTCACACAAAGTACATTTAGAAAAAAACTTTCGTTGCTTCATAATTCTTACTCTTGCCTAGATTATTCAACCAAAATCATTGTCCATGTTATTCTGTGTCCCAAATAAATTTACAAACCAGATAATAAAGCTAATAAGGCTTGAAAAAGACTGATGTGTTTTACTACTCCTATGTAAATGTCATTAGTATAGTTGCCTGCTTGAGTCACTGTATTAGTAAAGTGATATTCACTTCTATTAAACAGAGAACACATTTAACATCTTGTATAGTTCTCAGGCATAACAGTAATTGATTCCAGGGGCACAATTGAAAAAGGTGATTATTTAGTGGTAGGATGTGGGCATGCATCGGGGCTGCATAACTCCTCAAACTTAGTACAGCACGATTCTCATTTGCTACAGGACTTGCTTTCACAACTACAGCTCTTTCTATCTCATCTTTCCAAAGATGTGACTTCCAAATGAATGTAGGAAAAGTCTACATTTCTAGTAGTTCCTATGATATACCTGTTTTTCCATTGAATATTTAAAATATCCTGTGGCATCCCTTTGAGGTTCTTTGCACAGTTTAAGAACCATGAGCTTAGAGTTTATTTCTTGTTTAATGTATTGGCCTTCATCAATATCAATGGTCCTATGATATGTACCAGAATTTTTTTCATATGAAATCAAGAAGTACACTGTGTCAACTCAGATTTTTCATGGATCTTGATTTGTCACCAAATCTAGTAGATCTTTTCCATCTTTTCCTTAGATGAAGTCATATAAATTAAAACCATATAAACTCATTGTTTCTTATTCTATTCCTGTTAGTAGCTGATAAACCACAATAGACTCAACCACAGCATTACCAATAGTGATTTGAGGCATGTTGTCATTTTTGAGAGATGATTTTTTATACAACATTTCTCATTAGGATCCAAATTAAAGATACTACAAAGTCCTTTGATAATTTAAAGGCTGGCATACCATACTCCCAACTAATTTTAAGGAATCAGGACTTACAGGTCCTGTGGTTTTATTTCTGTTCTCTTTGCTTTTCTGAAATTAGAAGCTGGAATGCACAAGTGCATCTCTTCAGGGTCTCCTGGGGATTCCTTGCATCCTTGTTAGGAGACAGGACTGCATACCGAAATCATTTTAGAGTTGTCATCAGTGATGTGTGTTAGTGATCAACGACTGTACTTCTGAGACATGGAGAAGACTCCCTCAGGCCATAATGTGCTTGGAATAGTTCATTAGTAAACACTCTTCTCGGGTAAATTCACACAGAAGCTTTCTTTTCCCCAACTCACTCATCCCTATGGCCTATTCCTTGGCCATATGAGCAGCAGGTCTATGACTTCTTTCTACCAGTTTTATAGAGGATGATTATATCCTTCCATGCAACCCTTTGAGCAACGTTACACTCTAGTGGGAACTTTTCCAAATGAGCTTAACATATGAGGCTCAAGGTTACTTTGTAGTAGTAGAGTTTTGGTTTTGTTTGTTTTTTTTGATCAGAATATTGAAAAGTTGGTCTCAGGTAAATAGGACCACTATAGCAAAGTAAAATATTCTATCTTGTGAAAAATAATAGGATAGTAGGACAAACATATTATTAACATGAACTACTTGCTCCAAATAATGTAAAACTCCTTTGTGCTATTCCATGCAAATTACTTTAGTATAGCTTATTATAAATAGTAAAAAGATTTCAAAGATATTCATGTAGATCTATTTGCCAAAACTTTATTCTTAAATTTGTGTCTCAAGACAATTCTAGTAGTTGATTTTATTAATCATGGTTATAACCATCATCAGAGTTTTTAGATGATCCTAGAATGCATTACTTTGAAATTTTTATTTAGTACAATGTTTTCATTTGGTGTGAGGTACCTATCCTATAATATTAAGAATATTACTATTTTTATTTTACGTAGATCAAATTTTCATTATAAGCCATTTCCATATCACAGATCCAACACTATAACGGTCACATCACTTAGATCCTAATATGTGTCTCACATTACAGCTCCCCTCCTCCTCCCCAAACGAAAATGAAACAAAACTAAAATACCAAGAGGGTAAAACTGTATCTATCCATGTCCTCATTTGCCAAAGTATACTTTCATATTTACAAAGACCTAATATATATTTTTGAATAACCACAGTTCATATTTGGCACTGTTGCTTTTATCCTCTCAGAACTACATTACTCTCTACTGTTACGCAAATTGTGTAAAATTTTCTGGTTATATAATTATTAGTCAAATACCTTCTCAGATAGTACCCTTTTCTATATAAGTCAAACACAATTAAAAGACAACAAAAAATACTGCGCAGTAAAACAAAATATTATGCAACGATATGTTACATGTATCAGGGCAGAAAAACATTCAGAACATAGAGTTAAATGGTCAATTGAACTCTGTCAGAAAAATTTCCTTGAAAGAACTTTGGAAACACACCAAAAGGCAGAAAAGAAAAAATAGGGGTGCGTGAAGAGCAGTGAGTGGCAACAGGGGGTCTCGACAGCATCATAAACAAAGCGATGGTGGCATGGAAACTGCTTTATGTGTATGTGGCACTTCGTGCAGTTTCCTATGAATGAGATCCTTGTTCAACTATGTGAGCGTGAAGGTCTGTGCGTGTGTGTCAAGGGGAATAGGTTCTTGCTGGTGAAAAGCTAAAGAGGTAAGCCAGGGCCAGTTCACTGAGGACTATTAATCATATATGTGCAAACTGATTATGCTTGAGATTTAATCACTCCAGTAGCCTAGAGCTGGGAACCTAGGCAAAAAGATCAGATAGGAGGTTAGAGAAGAGACCTCCAAAATCCCATTCTCCCCGATTAGATATATTCCTGCTACTTGATAGCTGCAATGTGTGGGACAGGTTACTTCATATTTTTAAGTTTCATAGTGAAGGTAATAGTACAACTTGCAGGTAGTAGGAAGTTAATAATAATTCATACACATTGATGAACTCAATGAATGTCACGTAAGTGTTTAAGAGAGAAGATGATAGGTACACCTGTTTAGAGGTATATCATTGAAAATATGCTGATTGGTCAGATAAAGGCAGTGAAAGATGAAGAGTTGAGAGCAGAGGTCAGAAGATTATACCCTGCAGGCCAAATCTGGCTATCTACCCATTTCTGTAAATACTATTTTATGGGAACAGAGCCATGCTAATGTATTTACATATTATCTTTAGCTCATTTCTCATTACAATGGCAGTTTAGAATTCATGATGGAGACTTTATGACCCTCACAACCTAAAATATTTACTCTCTGTCCTTAACAGAAAAACACTGTCAATCCTGGCCAACAATTATAATTTATCATATTGGCAAATATTTAAAAATTTGAAACCTGAGGTTCTTAATGACAAGCTCTAAGATCAGTATTCGTGCTCCTCCCAATGCCAGTTTGCACCTTCTCCACCCACAGTAAGCCTCCGTAATCACTTAAAGTCTCAAATTTGTCACTGTTTGTTTTTGTCTGGTCTCATTTTACAGAGAAAGAGTGTGATTTAAGAGCTTCCAAGAAGACCACTCTAACCAAACAAACAACCTCCTCTGGTCAGTCTTTATAACTTAATTCTATCCCGGAAGGACCACAAAAATATTGTCTTCACATTTCTACTCAAAAATCAAACAAAATTGAATATTCAAGCATCAGTAGGCACACTGTGTAAACTGCTGACTTTGAAAAACAATTTGAGTTAGAGGTGGGAAGGAAAACAGAAAGAAAGAAGGAGGGTGAAGGAGATAGGAATGACTTGCAGAGAGTGAGCAAGAGGGATATGGTAGTGGGAAAAAGAAACTCTAGGGACATAACTAGAGACCCAGAAGAAGAGCAGAGGAAGGGAAAATCGTGGATCTGGAAAGGGGCCTGGGATACAAAGCTTACCTAGTTATTTATATGCCTTAGATTATAACCTCTCATTTCATAGCCATTGGTAATCCAGTTGTTGGAGAAAGGAAAGCTGAAATGTATTCTCACTCACCTGGAAATACCTAGTATTTGCCCTTTCAAAGAGATTTCTAATGATATGATTTATGC